ACTGTTGAATTCACAAATTGATCTAAACTGAGGAGCCTCATTCTAGGATGAAACGGCTGTCCAGTGTTTTCAGGTTTTCATTGGTGGTCTGGCTTAGATCGACTCGTGAATCCGACCGTTAAAAATATTGTTGTTTGTACTTAAACATATTGCATTACAGAAATTTATTTATAATTTGTTGACATTTTATGTATCGATTTTCTCACAGTATTCAATAATTTGACATTTAATAAAACGATTATTATTATTACTATCGTGATCACTAAAATAGTTCAATATTGATTATCCAATTAATAATTTACAATGTTTATGACTTAAATCGGGACTTTTCTTTTAAATTTTATCTTCCTAAATTGACTGTTTATTTGTACGGTGTGTTCATCGTTAATTGACATCGTGGGATGTGACAATGTGTGAAATACTTTTACATCATTGATAGGAAATACAATGAATACATCAATAGAATAGTCTTTGAAATAATCGGGGAAAGTTTGTAACTCAGATGAATGTTTTTAGTTGTATTGTGTTCTATAACCGTTGATTAGTTTGATTTTGAAGCTCAGCGCTCATCATTCAGCACAACACAAACAATAGCAACTGAGTTATATAAATGACTTTGAATATGTAGTTTGTACTGAATTTCGTATTAATTATGGTTTATAACATTTGATAACTGTCTTCAGGCTTCTATTTACATGGTAAACTATAAGAAGATGGTTATTTCATGATTTATTCTCTAGAAAGTAACACTTCATAGAAACTTCATACACAATGTAGTGAAAGTCACCTAAATAAGGTTAGAGGAGATAAAATAAGAAAAATTGTACGTCAGATGATAAGTATATGAAAAGAATGCTTTATTTTTAAATATCGTCTAAAACTACATTCATTAATAAATGTTAGTCGGAAAGTGTTAGATCCTAATGTCAGTGATGTAAACACTATTATTTGGTTTGTGTAGGATTTCCACTCAATTCTTCTAATCTGAATCTGTATTGTTTGTTGTGAGATATGATAAAGTTGCATGAATAAAACTGGTGAAAATCTTTATTATCTTTCAGTGAGTTACTTTTTTGCTTTCTTATTAATCAGACAGTACAACGAAAACCTTTGATTAGCGTATTTGTATAGTGTAGATGCATTATAGACATCATTTTATGTTATTAATTCACACGTGTGTATTCTAATTTTGTTGATCTAATCTTCTTATCATAAAGCTTTTAAATTTTATTTAGAAACAAGTTAACAGTAAACTGATGGCGTGTACTCATTGTAAGCCCCCAAATGCCCTGGTACGGCTGAGAGTGGGGAGAGTCCGCTCTCCCTCTCGAAATACTCTCACACGGTCACGCGTATATAGCCTCTGCCAGGGAAGTCCTACTCACTGCCTTCTCGTGGCGGGGGTGTTGTTTTCGAAAATGAGAGGACGAAAAGCGAATGTTCGGCGCTTTAACCGGATTCCAAACCAATGGTGCACATGGGCTCCAGTATCCTGAGGGAACGAATGGCGTATGGACCAATCGTTGGTTACCGGCTACCATGGGACTGCATCTCCTTACGATGCTCCGCTGCCTTGTGGATCAGACCTTCAGGTCGAAGGATCGGGGTGTGGCCCCCTAAGAAAACCAGCTGGACAGTATCACAGCCCTCACACATATCGAATGAGATTCGTGTCGCGCATATGTATTTGGTGCCTCTTTGTACCATTATCTATGTGTTGAAATAATAATAATAATAACTCATTGTAAGCAGTAAAAAAAGGCTTAATTCAAGCATATAACAGAGAATGAAATGGAAACCTAGTGTTTGAACTGTATTCAACTTTTAACTAAGATCAAATATTCGAATCTTACTCCACTTGGAATGATTTAAGTAACTCGGATAGTACGTCTCAAAGCCCTATTTATATTAAATATGTACTTGATCAATAAATAATATTAAATAATATGGACAGCTTAAATTACTATTCAATGTTTCATGATTTTCAGATATTGAGTTTATTATCATTTTTATTGTTTTGATTCATTCGCTTTCTCTCGCATTTTCCTTCTCTCATCTCATCTTCTCTTCTTTTACTTTTTCTCGTTGCTCTGATATAAAATGTGCCAACTTAAGCTATATGTACCCACAGTTTCGTGTCAGATTCCACGTTTACACATATTACATTTACTTATTAAATAATTGATGATTAAAATACACGTACATACACATACAGACATGGAGAATTTACTTACTCTTTTAAGAATATGTGATCGAAATTCATGATAAAAAATTATAGGATCAAAACTAATGAGAAAATGACACATTCATTAAATTCCAATATTCCTTCAGTACGTTTTTTACTTCTTTTTTTGTTGGAAACGGCGGTATCTGTGTATTTGTTTAAAGCAAATTGTGAACAATTACTTTCGTTGTGAAAAATATACCCAAAGCATTTTCAAAGTCTACATTCCTTTCCAGGTCAACTATTTATCTGTCATAAACGTCAAATTTTTTTTTGGTGTTTCTCTGTATCTTTGATATTGTGTGTGTATGTGTGTATGTATGAGTGTTAAGTCACTTTATTATTGTATACGAATATATTTGTGTTTCTTTGTTAGTATAATTATGCCTAATCATGATTGTTGTTAAAAATGACTGTTTAATGAATCTAAAACTTTCCTTCCACATAAAAAAAAACTGTGAAAGAAACATGAGATGGATTGAATTCACCAAGTTGAATAGTGTTCCTCTTAATAGTTAATGATGATAGATTAGAATGAATCGTTAGAAGGTGTGTTACACTTGTTTCAGTATTATTATTTACAATCGTTGATTATTATTATTGTTAGTAGTAGTAGTAGGAGGAGGAGGAGGAGGAGTGTTATTGCTACCACTAATTATACATTACATATTAGCATTTTATCATACTGAAATGTATTTTTCAATGTTGATTTATCTAGTCTTTGAGATACAACATGATTTTTTTGTTTTTATCATTCTCCATTCATCAAAAACCTTAAAATTAATGTGTCTCGATAAAGCTCAACTTTTAACATATAACATTTTATTATATTTAAGCTTTAATCATTTGGGTATAAATTGTATGCGTAAGTTTACTAAGAATGATTTATTAACTAACAAAACTTCTTACATGATGTTCATCATTAATCTATAGACAGTTTTGTGAGGATATTTTTCAAAATTAGGGAGAATTGGTCCATTGTTGTAATAAAGATTTTATTAGGGTACAAATATTCATAGATAAATGGTAAGGTAACGTGCTCAACTACTACACTCGATATGATCTGATTAAATATTAACGCAAACTTGTTTTGGAGCAACATTTTGACTTTATCTAGAGGAAAAATGGTTTTTAAACACTTGTGTTGTTTACAAAGGCACTCAGAACGATCATCATTTTGATGACGTCTTTCTTTAACATGCTTACACAAACCTTCTAGGAAAGTTGAGAAGACATCATTTAACGCCTCAGTCCCAAACATGGATCTCCAGGGTTTCTGCTAATTTCATGTAAACTATGGTCAAATTAACCTGGTAGTTATTCACAGTCATCAAAGAGGTAGTCACATCTATGGAAGATAATTAAATCTCTTCAATGTTTTTTTTATTTATTATTATAAGCTTTATTCAATATTATATTTTCGGTACAATATAGAATTCTCAGCACAAAGTATTTCAACAATTTTCCGTTTCTTTCTTCTTGGTCGATCCTGACGGTAAATTCTGAGTGATAGCCAGTTAGATGTTAGCAGTCCAGTAAATAAACATCTGAATAATGTGCATTCTTTTCTCTGCATATTGCCAGCGACCACATTATCTCTTATTGAGCTTTTTGTAACTTTGACAACGAAAGGTTGTAAACTTTTCAGAAATGCACTAGGATGGGTTATGCGATTAATATACATAATGATATATTAAAACAAACAAAAATAGATAACTTGTTGAAATATTTAGATGACAGGAACAGGTAGTCCAGATGCTCAAGCAGGCCGCCCAATTACGGGTTCGCTATGATGTTGAGAGATCACAGGTATGAATCATAGACCCTAGTCTATACTGTTGAATGTCCCTAAATTTCAGTCATCAAACAGTTTGCACCACCATGTCGAGTCGCTTTTTTTCTTAACTATGCTTTAAAAATATTCGGTTACTTAAGTTCAATTAGCTCCAAGTCCTAAGAATCACGACGCTAGTTATCTTTTAAGGAATGATTAACTTAATATTTCGGAGTACAACGTAATGTTTTGGCATTTAGTTATACGTTTTTAACTAAGTCAGCATTGAGAATTTAGTAAAATGTGATCCCATCCCTTTGTCTATTAAAGAGACCATATGTTGCACAGTTTTTGTTTATAAATGTTAAGTTCTTTCGCTTAACAATAATTCTGAATACAATTTTTCTAACTCAGATTTTTCTATTACCTTTCTGATTGGCTGCTAACTAATTTTATATGTGCTTCAAGGTTATCTTTTCGTTACTATATGCACAATGTGGTATTATTTCAGTTTTTCTGTTTGAATAACAAGTTTTACTGCACTCTCAACCGTTTCCTGCGTCCCTTCGCAACTGAATATTATTGTAGTGGATGTGTTTGTTGCCGTTTCATTGAGTCTGTCGTGGAACACGTTCGTATTGAAACAAACTTGATCGTTTTCTAATTAATAAGTACCGTAAGCCTATACCGAACAAACTCTAATACTCAGCAATATCATATATTTTATCTTGGTCAACAATTTATGCTCTATTGATGGCGTTTCTAACTTGTAGCATCAAACGATTCATGATTCAGTTAGTGTTAAAAAACAAGCCCCTTCATGATGTATTATACAGATTGTTTTTGAGTACTGGTAAGTTCAATACTGATATCCAGAATTGCCTGCCGATCGTTTTACATTTGATTTGTTTCAGTCCAGTTCCCCTTTCTCAAATGTATCAGTAATAATAATTCATTATGTTACTGTTAATTTCATACTGTTTTCATTATGGTTACTATCAGGTCTGTTGGGGTTCTTACATATTATCTACTTACTGGAATCTCTCCATTTCTTGGTGAAGATAAGTACATCACAATGCAAAATATTACTCATAATACAATTACGTATCCTGATTCCCTTTTTAATAATCGTTCACCCGATTCAATTGACTTTATTCAGCGCCTTCTACAACGTTCACCAACGTAAGTGTTGTGTAGTACATACATGTTTTATTTTTCTCACTTTAAAAAAATTGATTTCGCTGATAGTTTGAGTAGTATTTTGTTCGTCTTAAAAATGTTACTGAACTAGTACTACAACTAGAACAGATAATGAAAATATCAAGCCACTACTTTTATTTTATTTTTTTTCGATTCAGAGACAGGTGAAGGTAAAATGAAGAGAATTTTCATTGTGTATTTCCCCAACCGTTGTTGCTATCTTTACTTGTTAATCGGGCTTGCCCATCCTAATAACCTGGCTGGGCTATATTGGGTGGAACAATTACTTCTTTAGGCCCAACTTTTTCAACCTGGTCAATTTGGGAACAGTAAGACTAAAATCAAAATATTCATTGTCTGAGGGTGAGGTAGTCGTACTGCTAATTGTACTTAGGTGTGATGACAGTAAGGTATTTCCCAGCACCTTCAACGATATTGTCTTTTCCCAACAGAAGGAAGAGAGCTGGGAAAGTTTGGCCCAAGAAGTGTTACGTCTCACCTTACCTCGCGGATTTTGGTCGCAAGTGGTATGACCTTTCGAGGCACTGAGCTAACACATTACAAACGTCTAATCTACCTTGGGGAGTTCTTCCTTGGGCTGTGCAGTCACACTTCTAGAACTCTACATCCACTCTGAACCAGTTCCTTTTCTGGTCTCCTATAAAGAAATACTATTCCTTAATTTGGACAACCGAAATGTGAAAACCTCTTTTACTCCTCTAACTGCACTGATTGTGCATTTCAGATTAGATGAAGCATCTTTCTGATACTGCTAATCCGAAACAGATTGATTTTCGAAGTATTGAACCATTACTAAAGCTTAAACACTTGTGTTTATATGGTGGATAGACTCTGTAATGATCATATTGATATGTCTTGTCAATTGAACGCTTTACTTGTTCCTAAGCTATTCCGGTAACCCGCAGTCTAGAACTACACAGCGACTTGAACACCAGAGAGAAGACACAAGTATGAGAGAAAATACTTTATCCCAAGGTTCATTTTTGTACAGAAAATCAAGGGTATTTATAGATGTTGGCGTCTATTAAATCAACATCATATTTCAGCCAATCTGTTAACGACATATTATGCTACCGACCAATGGTAGCACGCCACGCTAAAATTCTCGAACGTTCCATCATACTCTGATTGGCTAGGACTCTTCGGCTCCTTGTGGACCTCTGGAGGTTCCGTTGAAGTTCTCCGGAAGCCGACCCAACACCTCACCCGAATAAGATTTCTTTCTGGGATCCACTTGTATTTTGATAACTGGGTTGCGACGGCGTCCCATTATTTTTGTCGTCTTCTTTGGCCAAGGCTTCTTTTCACTGTTCCTGGGCCTTTGCGGCATTGGTGCGTCTAAAACTAAATCTAACGGGAAAATCGGCTGGTCACTTCGAGTCTGCACCGTTCTTCTGTCCGCAAGGATTTGATTTGTGTGGCGTATACATGTCCAAAAAGCTCCTCGAACTTTGTACAGTACTCTTCCCAGTTTTTGCACCACTTCGCCCGGCTCCCATCGGTTCTTCCGGATGTAGGATTTAATGTAAACTGTTGGGTCGGCTTCCGGAGAACTTCAACGGAACCTCCAGAGGCCCACAAGGAGCCGAGGAGTCCTAGCCAATCAGAGTATGATGGAACGTTCGAGAATTTTAGCGTGGCGTGCTACCATTGGTCGGTAGCATAATATGTCGTTAACAGATTGGCTGAAATATGATGTTGATTTAATAGACGCCAACATCTATAAATACCCTTGATTTTCTGTACAAAAATGAACCTTGGGATAAAGTATTTTCTCTCATACTTGTGTCTTCTCTCTGGTGTTCAAGTCGCTGTGTAGTTCTAGACTGCGGGTTACCGGAATAGCTTAGGATCAAGCATAGCGTTCAATTGACAAGACTTATCAGTGGCGACGGAGATGAAAACCACAATGAATATTTCTTTGGAGCAATTAGAAGCCTATATGGTGCGTCAAGAAAAGAGGTTTGAAGAGTCACAAATTAGAATCATGGAAACCCTGATGCAGAAATTCTGCCTGTCCCAGCAAAACCCTGCTTCTAGTGAATCTCAAGTATCACATACTGATTCAGTCATTAACGCCATCCATGAATTTAATTTTGATGGTGTAGCAGGTGTAACTTTCGAGTCCTGGTTTAAGAAGTATGAAGATTTGTTTTATATTGATCTTTGCAAACTGGATGATGCTTCAAAAGTCAGAATACTTCTTAGAAAACTTGGGACTATGAAACATGAACGCTATAGCAATTCCATTCTTCCGAAGAATCTACGAGATTTTAATTTTGATGATACAGTCAAAACCCTGTCCCAAATCTTCGGAGAACAATCATCGCTATTTAATATCCGTTACCAGTGCTTAAAATTAACGAAAGAACCAGCAGATGACTGGGTGAAGCATGCAGGAACTGTGAACCGAGAATGTGAGAGGTTCAAATTGTCGTCAATGTCTGAAGATCAGTTTAAATGCTTAGTATTTATCTGCAGCCTGCGTTCATCCGAAGATGCTGATATCCGAACCAGAATCCTAAGCAAACTCGAACACTGCCCTAACATGACCCTGCAAGAAGTGACTACTGAGTGCCAAAGGTTAGTAAACTTAAAGTATGATACATCAATGATAGAAAACGGTAACTCTTTCCATAACGCCAATGCAGTCAAGAGAAAAGTCTTTCAAGGTTCCAGTACCCATAATTATCGAAATAACAGCGACAAACCATCATCTCCATGCTGGGCATGTTGGAGGTTGGCACTATAAGCGGTTCTGCCCGTACAAAGAACATTGTTGTAGTAAGTGCCGTCGGAAGGGGCATAAAGGAAACTTCTGCAGGAGAAGAAACTATAGACAACATTCCTTGAAATCTTACTCAAAGAAATACAGATATAGTGCTCCAACAAACAAGATATTGGTATCACATAACACAGCACGAAGTTGCCGCCGAAGAAAGTACGTAACCTTGGATATTAATAAACACCGTACTCGCCTTCAGCTTGATACAGCGTCTGATATTACTTTAATCAGCCCAGAAACATGGAAGAACATTGGAAGACCCACAGTTTTCCCAACAACACAGCTGGCACACAGTGCATCTGGGGGTAAGTTAAATATTGTTGGAGAAGTGCCATGCACTGTTTCTAAAGGCACTGTAACAACGAATGCAACAGTATATCTTACAAAGAAGCCAGCACTCGACTTAATGGGGTTAGATCTTATAGAAACACTTAAACTATCAGACCATTCTATTAATAGTATCTGCAGACGAAAGCAAAAATCTCTTAACGATCAACACACACAAAGGTCTGTTCCGGTATAACCGACTACCTTTTGGAGTGAAGACAGCGCCCTCCATTTTCCAGCAAATTATGGATACCATGTTACAAGGTATTCCAGGAGCAGCAGTTTACTTAGACGACATCATAATTACGGCAGTAGATAAAATGGACCTGCAGAAGAAACTGGACCAGGTACTAAAACGCATAGCTGATTATGGTTTTCGCCTCCGAGCGGAAAAGTGTGACTTCTATATGCAGCAAGTACGGTACCTTGGGTTCATAATAGATAAAGACGGAAGACAACCAGATCCAGAGAACATTGAAGCAGTGAAAACAATGCCTAGACCCAGGGATATTACTACCCTACGATCATTCTTGGGATTGGTCAGCCATTACGGTACCTTTCTCCCCGATTTCCATCGTCTACGTGCTCCACTAAACAACCTACTACAAAAGAATACAAGATGGAATTGGTCTGCAGACTGCCAAGCGTCTTTTGAGGAAATCAAGCAACTCCTAGCTTCCGATCTCTTATTGACACATTATGATCCTTCTCTACCGATAGTCGTCGCTTCAGATGCTTCTAACTATGGTGTGGGCGCAGTTATCTCTCACATTTTTCCTGATGGGTCTGAAAAAGCTATCTCACACGCTGCCAGATCTTTGACAACGACCGAACGGAACTATAGCCAAATCGAGAAAGAATCCCTATCAATTATCTTTGCAGTGAAAAAGTTCCACAAGATGATATATGGTCGACATTTTACCCTAATAACAGACCATAAGCCACTACTTGCAGTTTTTGGGTCAAAGAAAGGAATTCCTGTTCATACAGCTAACCGACTCCAACGATGGGCGACCACACTTCTGGGTTACGACTTCAAGATCAAGTATCAGTCTACTACCGCCTTCAGGCAAGCTGACGCATTGTCGAGATTAATAGGCTCCCAATCAAAAACCCCAGAGGAGACTCTTGTAGCAAATATAAAAGCCGAGGAAGAAGTTCATCGCGTGTTGGATGACGCAGTTAATGGACTCCCAGTAACCTTTGAAACTATCAAGAAGATAACTGAAATTGACGGCCAATAAGCATAGCTACGAGCCGAAGATTTCATTTTATTGATTCCAGGATGGCCACTGTGAAACTGCTTGAGAACCTTATGACGTAATAACTTCGGAATAACAATTCGATCACCGAACATAATACACGAGTCAACAACCACTAGTGAGTCCCGTCGTCGAAAATATTGAAAAAGTTCTCCGTCAAGGCGATTGTTTGGCCATTTGGTCGAGAGATAGCATTTAAATGAGCTCAGTATCTTATCACTTTCAGTTATCTTCTTGATAGTTTCAAAGGTTACTGGGAGTCCATTAACTGCGTCATCCAACACGCGATGAACTTCTTCCTCGGCTTTTATATTTGCTACAAGAGTCTCCTCTGGGGTTTTTGATTGGGAGCCTATTAATCTCGACAATGCGTCAGCTTGCCTGAAGGCGGTAGTAGACTGATACTTGATCTTGAAGTCGTAACCCAGAAGTGTGGTCGCCCATCGTTGGAGTCGGTTAGCTGTATGAACAGGAATTCCTTTCTTTGACCCAAAAACTGCAAGTAGTGGCTTATGGTCTGTTATTAGGGTAAAATGTCGACCATATATCATCTTGTGGAACTTTTTCACTGCAAAGATAATTGATAG